AGTTATAAAAGAAGAGATCAAACGAAATCAGCTCATTCATTGCTCGACATTTCAGTTGGGATCCAAAAGAAGCGACAGTTTTGTGTAAAATTTTACAAAATAATCTTGGAAAAAGGTAATTTTCTTGTGAAAATATATCAAATACGTTTTAAAGAAATATTAACTTATTTTTTTTTACATTTTAACAGACAAACTTTAATATTTATTTAACACCATTTACTCTTGCAGGAAATCTATAGAATCAAAATTTTCTTCCGAAGACAAAAAATTAAACGAAATGTTGCAAAAGTGTATCAGTCGTGTTCCACCTGCCCGAGATGCCCCGGAGCATATTTTAAATGCGCTAAATAACGATTGTATCCAGGAAATTCTTCGTCGATTGAATATAACGGACTTTCTGGGCGCGGCCAAAGCGTGTAAACGATTTCAAGAAAATGCACAAGCATGCTTTCCGTTCAAACAGTTTAATATCGTGCATGGTGGCGATAAAAACAATTTACCGTTGTCTCAGGTGAAAGATTTCCTCCGTATTTTCGGTCATTTGATCAAATCCATTAATTGGACAAGTGTTAGTGGAAAACGCAAAGGAATATGGAAATCGGTACTTGCAGCCAAAGTTAAATTTGAAATTTTCGATATGATTATATTTTTTTGTAGAGATACATTAATCGAACTGAGCATTTATAGTCATTTCGTGAGATTTAAAAAGGGAACCGAATTCAAAATGCTCGAAAAACTAACATTATGCAATGTGACTGTTCGTAAATTGGCGTTGTTTCCAAAATTAAAGGAAATTAAACTTGTTGGAGTTAATGATTATGATGCGGTGTTGCGTTCACACATCTGGTCAAAAGGATTTTCGCATGCAAAAAGTTTCGATTGGCTCAGACAAAGGTTTCCATGTTTGGAAGGTGCCACATTTGCTTTAACCACCCTCATGACCGACGACGTCATGGTGGAATTTCAAGAGTTTAATTCACAGCTCAAAAATTTAACCATATATAATCATTATCCGTATCGTGTAACATCGTCTGTGCTGGACGATATTTCGCATCGTTTGCCGAACTTAATAAGTTTTAAAACCTACGGGCTAAAATCAAGTCCAAACGCTCAAACGGATTTGAAATTTTTGATGCGGCTGAAAAACTTGAAATATTTTCAAATTCCGTATAAAAACGATGAACAAACAATTCGGGAAATAATTGCTTCATTTGCCGACAATAATGTGAACATTGAACACTTGGGCATATCTTATGCATATTACGCAGCAAATGATCGTCAATTTGTAGAAAGTGTATCGAAATTGAAATGCCTTAAGGAATTGACCCTTGAAGGTGTTTCTTGTGAAAGCGATGTAATAAATATAGTCAGAGAAGTGCCAAATTTAAAACGATTGAATTTAACCGCTTGCTATGAAGTGTACACAAGCATTGAATTACCCTTGAAAGAAATCAAAAGAGCAACTGATTTATGTAGAAACTTGACCACTATTCAGTTTGAATTCATGCATCTGGATATTGACATGAAAGTCTATAATGCTTTTTTACCACTCGTCAAAAATCGCATTTCAATGACTTTGCTTACATATAATGGTAAAATGGATATCAACCAAAAGGTGCTGGAAGAGAATCGCAAGTGGTTAGATGTTGGGAAATCAAAACTACCCAAAGTATTTTTTCGGCTCAACTAGTAAAATCCAAAATTTAAAGGATATACACACTTTTCCATTAATGATCATTGTAATGATATTCCATTTAAAGATAAAATATTGATGTACACATAACCTACACTTAATTTGAAATTTTCAGTATTGACACCTCTATCTCTTCAGATGAGGCTAGTATGGCCAAATAACTCAATTTCAATTCTCTCAATTCTCAATTGCATATTAATTATTAAATATGAAGACAAAATTGTAACCTACACCTAATGTACACTTTTTTTAAGACCAAGATACGTTACAAAATGTTGCAAACTTACTACATTTTCTCTACAATTAATTAAAATCATTATTTTGAAGAAAAAAAATTATGTAATAAAATTATGCCCAATATTTCCAAATAAAAATAAAAGAAAATAAATACGACCAATTTTTACATTTTATGTCCAAATTCGATGAATTATTTTTTTTAGCATATGGCTTACTTTAAATTCATACGTTCAAACATTTTAAATATGACTCTATTTATTGTAGAAAAGATAACCAGGTAAAAACGTTTTAAATAATGTCAAAAATTCTCTTTTTATACGAGTTTTTTACGATTTTTTACTTCAAAATTTCCGAATTTGTGCGATATACATCTAGCGTGATAAGCTAAACTCACGCTCTGATGCATAATAAAAATAAATCAAATCGAGTCAAAAATTTAAATTTTATGTATTTATTTCAATTAAAGATGTTATTTTGCAATTTTTCTTTGAATGTTTAAAGTAATATAATTTTCAATGTATTTTTTTATTGTTATTATTTATTTGGACATTCCAATGGTTCCACATTCCAATGGTTGGCATGGACTTGTTGAATTTTTACGATGGAATTCAGGCTTGCATATGCAAGCGGGTTTCGAGTCGGCTGTGTATTTGCATTTGACTCTAGAACCGTCTCGATTAAAACAATTATACGTATTACAGGCATTTTGTCCATAGGCCGAACAAAATTCATTTTCTGAACAAACTGTAGGCGCGCACGGATTTTCTTGAGCTATAAAAATTATTCAACAAATATTAAATAATGAAGCAGCTAATTCAATGAATTAACTCACCTCCAGCAACAATGAACAAAGTCAGCGCAAAAGCCAGAACAAATGAAAATTTTACAATCATTTTGTTTCCTTTCCTGCTCTACTAAAATAAAAAAAAAATCTTCACTATTCAACTTTGTAATTGCGAATAATATTTTTCAAGACAAACTCCAAAGCTTATATTATTATGAAGTAAAAGTTGCGGCAAACAAAGCAATAAAAATGTTCGTGATTTCTAACTTTTATTAGATACTATAAACGAGCTAGAAAGAAAACCAATAAAAATGGAACACAGCGTTTTTATCTATGTACAATCGCATTCAACACAATCAAAATGAAATTTTAATATGGGTTATACCAAGGTTAGCTTAGAAATTTTGAGTCAAAATCTATAAAAAAATCTAAATATTTGACAATGTTCTATATACCAGGTATGATAATGGAGATGGTTCGACGTGTAAATTTGCATACACGTGTATTCGAAAATAATTAAAATTCGGATTTATTTTTCAAGTGTTTATCATGTTTATTTTAAAAAAGACGCAATCAAAGAAAAATACATCTAAATTAACATTAAAACTAATTTATATTAGGAAACATATTGTTTGGTTTGATGAATTTAGTAATTCAACTCGCTAAGATAAGCATCTAGCTCAGCATCTAGTTCTTCGGCTGATACTGATTTTGCTTTTGTACGATTTCCACCAATTTTGGCGTCTTGTCGAGCTGGTTTGGGTTGGTTTTGACCTCGATTGTCTTTGTTTGAAACGAACGTAGGTCGTTGATTACGAATCACAGCTTCCTTCGATATTGTGAGCTGAATATGCTTTGGTCGGCTATCAAGTATGACACTGTTGCTTCGTTTTAAAGCCCGAATAGCATCAGATAATAATTTGGCCGGGCCACTGTTGGTGCCATTTCTTCTGCCGTGTGTGATGGTTTGTTTGTCGCCGGTAAACAAGTCATGTTTCCATGCGCTGTTCACACCAGTCTTGGTAACTAGGTTGTTAATTTGATGGTTTGGTGTTTGGTTGCGAGGTGAGAGTCCTTTTGGTTTGCCGATTTGACGATTGGCCGTTCCGTGGAGTTTTTGGTCTGGTTTATTATCGATTTTACGACGACATCCACCAGCACCGTTTTCTTGTTTCTTTGCTCCGACACGACGAAATATGATCTTTTCGGTTTTAATGATGTCGTCCAAACTCATTTCAATTTTTGCAGCCATTTTTGATTTGCTTTTTGTTTGAACTTTTGTTTTCTAATCGAAAATTTAACTTAATTTATGCAAAAGATGACGAAGGAATTTGATGAATTGATTTATTTTAAAAGCTAATTTTTCTTTCAATAAATTTCGATATAATTTGAATAATGCTCTTGACTATTGCAAATATTGGTGATGTTTTCTTGTCGAGAACTTTGTAAAGAATGAGGTGACTGTGCTTGATCCTGCATTTAAATACTATATCTGAACTAATGATCAAAGGATACATTATCAATTAGTCATAATTACTAATACGTTTTCTTGTTATTCTAATTAATTACTTGCCATTTAAAACGGTAAGGCGTAGAAGGTAATTACCAAATCTGAACTAATGATCTAAGGATACATTATCAATTAGTGGTACTTACTAATTGGTTTTCTATTTTAAATAGAATGGTGTAGAAAGGTAATTTAGAGAATACGATAGAAAAATGAAATGTGAAAACGAAAAGGTACATGATATGTTATCTCATTGTTATGTTTGTACTTTGATCTAAATCGAATATTCAGGTAAAAGGATAGACCTGTTACATTTGACTAGAATTATTTTGTATTTTAAATGTTTTAAATTTCCATAGTATTTTTTATGGAAAATCATACTTTAAACCGATTCAAATGCGTTGAACTAAGTAATCCAAGACTGCAAATTTTCAATATCAAATTGTTCTAAATAGTTTCAACATATGTTATTTAAATATTAAAATGTTAAAAATCTATGTTTTTTGTAGTACTTGATATCGATGGGAAAGCTGGCGACCAGATGAAAATTCAATACTCTAAATAATGGCATCAAGCTTAGTTTTGGCTTCGTTGATTGATAAATCCAAAAGTTTATGCTTTCTATGTTATATGAAATTTAATTTTTCGCATTCTTTCAAGAGAAAGTTCTAACCTAATAAACGAATTTGGCTCTAATCTTGTGTAGTTGTGAAGAGCTATACTCATTTTTCTTTATTTTTTTCCTTCAAAATTTTCATTAAATTTTAAACAAAGTACCATTTATGAATTACCAAATGTTTAATTTATTTTTTATGTTTTAAGAATATTTCAAACAAAAATAATTATATATTGTAAATTTAATGTGTTACACACCGAAATTATGCTCCGTTTTATACAGTCTCTATAAAATGCAAAACTGTAGCACTGCTAGCGCCACTACGGATAGCTATGAAGTTCTAGTTTGTTGTTTGCAACTGAGCAAAAGTCTTCTCACTATTTGGCGGCGACTTAGTGTAGATTACACTGAATTCCGTCGTGGCGCTAGCAGTGTGACAGTTTGGGCATAATTTCGGTACGATGTGTTAAAAACACCTTAAATCAAATTATATATATTTATAGATCTCCAATTAAAAATGTTTCAATTTCTCTCGAAATATTTGGACCAACGTAATTTTCGATATAATGTTTTATTGTTACTGTTTCTTTGGACATTTTAATGGTTGGCATCGACCTTTTCCATTTGCACGAGCATAGCCTTTCTTACAGATACAGGCTGGTTCACCACGGCAATCCGCTGTGCACATTCTTGGCTCATCGTTACAAGAATACGTATTACAGGCATTTTGTCCACATGGTGCACAAATTTCATTTTTTGAACAATCTATAAGTGCGCACGGATCGTCTTGAGCTATAAAAGTTATTCAACAAATATTTAATAATGAAGCAGCTAATATAATTCATGGAAATAACTCACCGCCAGCAAATATGAACATAGCCAGAGCAAAAAGGAGAACAAATCCAAATTTTACAATCATATTGTCTCTTTTCCTGCTCTACTAAGATGATAAAAAGTATTTTTACTGTTCAGTTTTGTGATTGAGAATAACATTTTTCTACCCAAGCTCCAAGGTTTATATATTCTTATGAAGTAAAAATTGCGGTAAACAAATCAATAAAAGTGCCTGTAATCTCTACAATAAATAACACAAAGTGAGAAATGTGAATGAAATGACCTCATTCAAACATGACAAAAACCATCAGAACAGATAACAAAATATGCATATTTATTATATATTCGTTGATTATCTCTCTTTACGATTCGGGGGTTTACCATCGCCGAATTCCACTGATGATAATCTGATGTCACAATCTAAACTCACGATAATTATATTAAATATATCACGAGCTTGAAATCACAGGCTTATAACGTTGTTTACCCATTTTTAAGCTTTACACTCTAAGTCATAAAATCAAAGAATATATAAGCATTAATATTAGCAGAAAAAAATTATTCGCAATAACAAAACTGATTAGTGAAGAATTAGTATTTGGAAGAAAAATTGAAAAAAATACAATATGATTTTTAAATTGGGATTTCTTGTGGCTGTTACGCTGACTATATTCATAATTACTGATGGTAACATCAATAAATATCAATTCTTGTGTTAAATCATTTTAAAATATTATAAAATACTTTTTCAGCCTCAGTACTGTCGTGTGACAATGTGCGATGTAGAGAAAATGAAACTTGTACCAGTTGTGCGCCAAACTCCTGTAACACTTATTCTTGTGATAATAGAGATGGTTCGACGTGTAAATTTGCATGCAAAGAATTGAAAAGACCAACTTGCATCTGTCTACCTAATTATCATCGTGAAACTTCAAGAGATGCATGCAAACCATTGGAATGTGAAAAAAAAGACTAATTGAAAATAATATATTGAAGATTTTGCTCCAATTCAATTTATATTCAATATAACATAAATGTCTTCATTGAACAAATGTGTTGATTTCTATTTGAAGAATAAATTTAACTAAAAATTTGTCATTTGGATATATACATAGTATATTCATTTATTTTTGTATTTAACCAGTTTTGATATCTTTCGAACATACATTATTTGCAGAAAAATTAAAATAAAAAAAAATTAAAATTCGGATTTATTTTTTAAGTGTTTATCAAGTTTATTTTGAAAAAGACGCAATCAAAGGAAAATACATCTAAATTAACATTGAAACTAAGTTATATTAGAATACATATTATTTGGTTTGATGAATTTAGTAATTCAACTCGCTAAGATAAGCATCTAGCTCAGCATCTAGTTCTTCGGCTGACACTGATTTTGCTTTTGTACGATTTCCACCAAATTTGGCGCCTTTTCGAGCTGGTTTGTGTTGCTTTTGACCTCGGTTGTCTTTGTTTGGAACGAATATTGGTCGTTGATTACGAATCACAGCTTCCTTCGATATTGTGAGCTGAATATGCTTTGGTCGGCTATCAAGTATAACACTGTTGCTTCGTTTTAAAGCCCGAATAGCATCAGATAATAATTTGGCCGGGCCACTGTTGGTGCCATTTCTTCTGGCGTGTGTGATGGTTTGTTTGCCGCCGGTAAACAAGTCATGTTTCCATGCGCTGTTCACACCATTCTTGGCAACTAGGTTGTTAATTTGATGGTTTGTTGTTTGGTTGCGAGGTGAGAGTCCTTTTGGTTTGCCGATTTGACGATTGGCCGTTCCGTGGAGTTTTTGCTCTGGTTTATTATCGATTTTACGACGACATCCACCAGCACCGTTTTCTTGTTTCTTTGCTCCGACACGACGAAATATGATCTTTTCGGTTTTAATGATGTCGTCCAAGCTCATTTCAATTTTTGCAGCCATTTTTGATTTTCTTTTTGTTCTCTAATCGAAAATTTAACTTAATTTATGCAAAAGATGACGAACGAATTTGATGAATTGATTTATTTTAAAAGCTAATTTTTCTTTCAATAAATTTCGATATAATTTGAATAATGCTCTTGACTATTGCAAATATTGGTGATGTTTTCTTATCGAGAACTTTGTAAAGAATTAGGTGACTATGCTTCATTCTGCATTTAAATACTAAATCAGAGTATCCGTTAGTAATTAGTAGTAATTATTAATACGTTTTCTTGTTATTGTAATTAATTACTTACCATTTAAAACGGTAAGGCGTAGAAGGTAATTACTGAATCTGAACTAATGATCTAAGGATACATTACCAATTAGTGATAGTTACTAATTGGTAATTGGTTTTCTTCTTTAAATAGAGTGGTGTAGAAAGTTAATTTAGAGAATACGATAGAAAAATGAAATGTGAAAACGAAAAGGTACATGATATGTTATCTCATTGTTATGTTTGTACTTTGATCCAAATCGAATATTTAGGTAAAAGGATAAACCTGTTACATTTTACTAAAATTAAGAGTGTATTTTAAATGTTTCAAATTTCCATAGTATTTTTGGAAAAGTATACTTCAAATCCGATTTAAATGCGTTGAATTAAGTAAACTAAGACCGCAAATTTTCAATTTCAAATTGTTCTAGTTTCAATATATTTTATATAAATATTTCAAATATTAAAAATGTCTGTTTTTTGTAGTACTTGATATCGATGGAATAGCTAGCGACCAGACGAAAATGGCTTCTTTGACGGATAAATCCAAAAGTTTATGCTTTTCTAATAGAGGGTGACCCAATAGGAATGATAGGTTTTCCAATGAGGATATCTCGAGACCTGTCAATGTTATATTTAACATTTATGTGTCAAAATATTCAGTATAGCTTGCAGTTTTACCCATATCTCAAATGCGTAGGCATTGTTATGCCTTCTATTACCGAAACTTTTTTGAGCGGTTCATCTTCATTTATGCTTTGAAGAAGATCCGCACAAAAGAGGATACACAAAAACGATATTTTGTATGAAGATCGTATGGACAAATACAATTTTATGCGGCACGTCATCTAGTTTTCCTTGCATATTTTTCTGTGTACACTGCTGAAATATGTCCTTATATGGCTGAATTTCTATTGAACAGGTGGCATAACGCGACTAGTTTTGCGACTTTGTTCGAACCTGTTTGAGTTATTGATTTTTTTTTTCAATTTCCGGACGATTAGCGGACTTGACCGCCGGATTGTTACTGAACCTACTCACTTGAGATTTCATTTGTCCCTCAGACATAGAAACGAACAGAAAACAATTCGCTATTTTTTATTGAAAATACCCAGACACGTGAAAAAAAATATATGCAAATAATCTGCACAAATGATTATTCAATTAGCCATTCAAGCACACTCAAGTCATTTGAGAGCCTGAAACCCAAAAAAAATTATAAAAATTCTTTTCGGAAAAAAAGCATAAGAAATTATTGAGCGCAAAACGAGAATATAGAAAACTGAGAGTTAAAACAACACATAAAATACTGAGAGTAAAAGTAGCATATATCGATTTGCTGTTTTTACTCTCAATTCCGTATGTTGTATTTTAACTCTCAGTTTTTATTCTTCTCATTTTAGCACTGAAAATGTATTTGTGTTTATTTGGCACCGATAAATATTATATTTTCTTTTCGTCAAAAACATTTTATTTGGATTCGTATAGAACAAAATGTAATAGAAGAATTTGTTTACAAAGCAATAAAATAAACAAAAACAAATGCTCTAATTTCACGTCGCTACTGCGATACGATGAGTATACTGTGATTCCTATATTTATGCATTGACCAGTGTAAATCCAACAGCAATTTACCGTTATTCGCTAACACACCGAAGATATACAAATATGCTGGTCGTATTCGCACCGAATTTCATGTTGTGTATTATGCGTATCTGTAAAATTTTATTTATTTTTTTTAATTGATCTGCAACGACAAAACTATTTGTCGATTTCTTAATTCAAAGTTTGAATTTCAAATCATTGTTTTTCAGTTCACATTATTATTAGCCAAATAGGCTAGTGAATATCTGAAAACTGAACGATCGAAAAAACGTGTACGTAGACCGCTTTTGTATGAAAAATATCGCAAAAGAATATTGTAATGGCGCATACAACAAAAGGCAATAGACAAATTGCTGAAAAAGTGTTCAAAGTGCTATCAATCTGTACGAGTTCGGGAAAGTACTGCACCAAAATTGATGTGCTCCAACAAAAACTGATTTTCAATTCGTACTATTTAAAATCAAACTGGAGTAAAAAAACGCTGTTCCTTCGATCACACATTAAAACGGCGAAAGTGAAAAGATGCCTCGTTGTATCCAAATCATTTTTGAAAGAGAGAATGTTGACAAACAATTCACTAAGTTAATCTCGTGTCATATTACATGAAAGAGAAAAAATGCAACGCATTGTGACGAAAGCTAAATATAATATTTTTCGGAGTCAAATAAAAACATATTTACTTTCAGAGCAAAAATGAGAAGAATAAAAACTGAGAGTTAAAATATAACATATCGCTTGTTTGTTTTGTCGCTAACTGAAATTATATTCTGTTTTAGTTCTCAGTTCTGTATGTGCTCTTTTAACTCTCAGTTTTTTTCTATCGTATTTTTCATTTAAAATACATTCTTATGCTTTTTTTCCGAAAAGAATTTTTATAACTTGTTTTGGGTTTCAGGCTCTCATTTCATCCTATATTTAAATTGATGAGCTTATAAATCGTCTTCATTTTAATCAAATGACTTACCAAATGGTTAGAAAAGATATAAGAAAGAGTTTTTCTCATAATTCGTGTGATAAAATGGGTGGCGAAACATGTGTAATATTTATCCTTTGTATATGCTTGTTTGTTCTAAATAAATTGAATGATCAACTTTTCGAGAGTCTTTGTTTACAATGTCAGATTGTCAATCTGTGTAAAAGATGTCGATTTCTCCGACAATCTTTCCAGCGTTTTATTTGAAAAGCTACTTTTTGCAAGTTTTTGTGCCTCTCCTCCAGACATGGAGACAAACAAAAACCAATTTGGATTTTTATCCAAATAACCCATTGCAGAAAATCGAATTGAATCATTGCAGATTATTTGTACAGACAAAATTCTATTTCCGAAATTGTTTAATTGGATTTCGGGACAGCTATTCATTTTGAAACAGATTTGTTTGCTTTTCAGCTACATCATTCCATATCTGCATATGGTTTTCGCTTACGATAAAATTTGTATAAAAGACGCAATCAAAGAGAGTTTCTTCATTTCAATCACATTTTCAATTTCACTCGAATAATTCCGTTGAAACAGTCAAATTCGAAATAAACATGAAATTCTTATTATTCTTTGCACTTCTGACCGTCGGAGTTTGTGTCGCTTGTCCAGGTATATTTCTGACTCTATTTTTAATTTTAACTTTAAGAAAAAACTATCCAATCTAAATATATCATATTGATAATGAATTTTTTTACACAACAATTGCAAAAATGGTCAAAACCTCGAAATTGATCGGTTGGGGTGTTTGTATGTCTGTCCGTACCTTCTTTTAAATTGTGTGAAATTAGTTTTTTTCGAAAGTAGACTGAAAACTGAGCAAATAAATTTCTCAGTTTTAATAACTTCGTTACGTAAGTGGTTTTGGTTTGGGATCTAAAAATGATCATGACTCTTTTCACGTGATCCAAATTTTTGGAGTATTGCGTACATAGAAAAAATTCACCGCAAAAAATATAAAAATGCACAAAAAATGTATGAAAATAAATGCATAAAACATTAAAAAAAACACTAAACATTTGTTTATAGACCGAATATTGTGCTGTTAAGCGTGTTCAGTTTTTCGTATATTTTCTGTTCTAAGTTTTAGACTGTCTAACTTTGGGTTAGCATTTTTGAGGCAATTTATATCAGAACATTTCCAGATTTACAAAATTGCGTCACAGTGGGAAAGTCGAAAGAAGTGTTTTGTACTTATTTATAGATCTCCCATTAAAAATGTTTTTTTTTTTTCAATTTCTCTCGAAACATTTGGACCAACGTAATTTTCAATATATTGTTTTATTGTTACTGTTTCTTTGGACATTTTAATGGTTGGCATCGACCTTTTTCCTAGGGGGAATTATCTATACGTTTATACGGTTTATACTCAAGTATTTTTTACCGAATATACTATAAATAGATGAAGACATCGCAAGTATGCCGCATATACGCTGCATATATGCGTATAAACCATATATATACGGAGTTATTTGCAAATATTATTTGCAAATATTCTTCGGTATATACGGTTTATATTCTTATACGCAGCATATTCGTTACTTATTTTATTCGATATTTTCCCCTAGCCTTTTTCATTTGCACGAGCATAGCCTTTCTTACAGACACACTGTGCACACTCTTGAATTAGCTAGATTATCATTACAAGAATACGTATTAGAGGCATTTTGTCCACATGGTGCACAAATTTAATTTTTTGAACAATCTATTACAATCATTTTGCCTCCTTTCCTGTTCTACAATACTAAGATAAAAAAAAGAAAATTCACTATTCAACTTTGTAATTTCGAATAATCTTTTTCAAGACAAACTCCAAGGCAACAATAAAAGTGCACGTGATTTCCAAATATAATAACACAAATTGAGAAATGTGAATGAAATGACCTCATTCATTAAACAAAGATGACAAAAACCTTCAGAACAGATAACAAAATATTAATTATATATTCGTTGATTATCTCTTTGCGATTCGGGGGTTTACCATCGCAGAATTCCAGTGATGATAATCTGATGTCACAATCTTAACTCGCGATAATTATATTAAATATCACGAGCTTGAAATCACAGGCTCACAACTTTGTTTACCCATTTTTAAGCTTTATGACACTCATAAAATCAAAGAATATCATATAAGCATTAATATTAAAACTGAATAGTGAAGAATTAGTATTTGGAAGAAAAATTGAAAAAAAATACAATATGATTATCAAATTGGGATTTCTTGTGGCTGTTGCGTTGACTATCTTCATGTATGGTCTAGGGGAGAGAAACCAAGGCTAGTTTTTCTAGTTTATAGCTAATTTACTAGTTTTTAGCTAATTTACTAGTTTATTGCTTGAATAATCTAATAATGCTAATATTCCTTTATGAAATTGCTAGTTTTCTAGTTTTTTGTTCTGTCAAATGACAATCAAATGATTGTACTGACACAATGAAGTATTTTGACGTTTTGTTGTTCAGACATATTTTTATGTGTTTTGAATAATTATACACTTATAATAGTGAAAATTAGTTTAATTATTATTTTTTAACACAAAATCGTGCATAAAGTACCTGTTTCTTTCAATAGTCGACTTGTAAAATTGATTTAGTCAGCAAATCATGGCACAATATCAAAATGGCGGATCAAATAATTTTTGCTAATTTTTCTAGTTTTTGCTAGTTTTTTTCTAATTTTCCTAGTTTTTACTTGAAATATAAAAAACTAGCTAATGGTTTCCGTCCCCTAGTGTATGGTAACCTCAATAAATCTAGTATTTAATTATTTTTAAATATTATAAAATATCAGAGTATTGCTCAGCACTGCTGCCATCCACAGCATATTAAAATATCTTGCTGAGAATGCGTCGTCCGTCGCATGCGAAGGTACGTAGCAGTTTTTACATCACAGGGAACAAGAATGTATGCATTGTTCTCTTCACGATTATGTGACTCAAAACATTCAAACGATTTATTAGAGAACAATGCATGTATTGTTGTTCGCTGTGATATAAAACTGCTAGTAGCTACCTACCTTCGCATGCGATATTTTAATATGCTGTGGATGGCAGCAGCGCTGAGCAAAACTCTGTAAAATATTTTTCAGCCTCAGAACTTTCGTGTGACAATGTGCGATGTGGAGAAAATGAAACTTGTACCAGTTGTGCGCCAAACTTCTGTAACACTTATTCTTGTGATAATAGAGATGGTGCGATGTATAAATGTGCATGCGAAGAATTGGAAAGACCAAGGTGCATCTGTCTACCTGGATATAGTCGTAAAATTCAAAGAGGTGCATGCGAACCATTGAAATGTGGGAAAAAAGACTAATTGAAAATAATATATTGAAGATTTTGCTCCAATTCAATTTATATATGTATAACATAAATTTCTTCATTAAACAAATGTGTTGATTCCTATTTGAAGAATAAATTTAATATTCATTTATTTTTGTATTTAAACAGTTTTGATATTTTTCGAACACACATAATTTGCAGAAAAATTAAAATAAAAAAGAATTAAAATAAAAAAAAATTAAAATTCGGATTTATTTTTATCATGTTAATTTTAAAAAAGACACAATCAAAGAAAAATACACCTAAATTAACATTAAAACTTAGTAAGATGAGAATATGCATTGATTGGTTTGATGAATTTAGTAATTTAAGTTGTTAAGATAAGCATCTAGCTCAGCATCTAGTTCTTCGGCGGATACTGATTTTGCTTTCGTACGATTTCCACCAACTTTGACGCCTTGTCGAGCTGGTTTGCGTTGCTTTTGACCTTGGTTGTCTTTGTTTGGAACGAATGTTGGTCGTTGATTACGAATGACAGCTTCCTTTGATATTGTGAGCTGAATATGCTTTGGTCGGCTATCAAGTATAACACTCTTGCTTCGTTTTAAAGCCCGAATAGCATCAGAAAATAATTTGACCGGGCCACTGTTGGTGCCATTTCTTCTGGCGTGTGTGATGGTTTGTTTGCCGCCGGTAAACAAGTCATGTTTCCATGCGCTGTTCACACCATTCTTGCCAACTAGGTTGTTAATTTGATGGTTTGTTGTTTGGTTGCGAGGTGAGAGTCCTTTTGGTTTGCCGATTTGACGATTGGCCGTTCCGTGGAGTTTTTGCTCTGGTTTATTATCGATTTTACGACGACATCCACCAGCACCGTTTTCTTGTTTCTTTGCTCCGACACGACGAAATATGATCTTTTCGGTTTTAATGATGTCGTCCAAACTCATTTCAATTTTTGCAGCCATTTTTGATTTGCTTTTTGTTTGAACTTTTGTTTTCTAATCGAAAATTTAACTTAATTTATGCAAAAGATGACGAAGGAATTTGATGAATTGATTTATTTTAAAAGCTAATTTTTCTTTCAATAAATTTCGATATAATTTGAATAATGCTCTTGACTATTGCAAATATTGGTGATGTTTTCTTGTCGAGAACTTTGTAAAGAATGAGGTGACTGTGCTTGATCCTGCATTTAAATACTATATCTGAACTAATGATCAAAGGATACATTATCAATTAGTCATAATTACTAATACGTTTTCTTGTTATTCTAATTAATTACTTGCCATTTAAAACGGTAAGGCGTAGAAGGTAATTACCAAATCTGAACTAATGATCTAAGGATACATTATCAATTAGTGGTACTTACTAATTGGTTTTCTATTTTAAATAGAATGGTGTAGAAAGGTAATTTAGAGAATACGATAGAAAAATGAAATGTGAAAACGAAAAGGTACATGATATGTTATCTCATTGTTATGTTTGTACTTTGATCTAAATCGAATATTCAGGTAAATGGATAAACCTGTTACATTTGACTAGAATTATTTTGTATTTTAAATGTTTTAAATTTCCATAGTATTTTTTATGGAAAATCATACTTTAAACCGATTCAAATGCGTTGAACTAAGTAATCCAAGACTGCAAATTTTCAATATCAAATTGTTCTAAATAGTTTCAACATATGTTATTTAAATATTAAAATGTTAAAAATCTATGTTTTTTGTAGTACTTGATATCGATGGAAAAGCTGGCGACCAGATGAAAATTCAATAAATCATCATTCAATAATCATCCAAAAGTTTATGCTTTCTATGTTATATGAAATTTAATTTTTCGCATTCTTTCAAGAGAAAGTTCTAACCTAATAAACGAATTTGGCTCTAATCTTGTGTAGTTGTGAAGAGCTATACTCATTTGTCTTTATTATTTTCCTTCAAAATTTTCATTAAATTTAAAACAAAGTACCATTTATGAATTACCAAATGTTTAATTTATTTTTTATGTTTTAAGAATATTTCAAACAAAAATAATTATTTACTGTAAATTTATTGTGTTACACACCGAAATTATGCCCCATTTTATACAGTCTCTATAAAATGCAAAACTGTAGCACTGCTAGCGCCAATACAGATAGCTATGAAGTTCTAGTTTGTTGTTGGACCAACGTAATATTTGGACCAACGTAATTTTCGATATAATGTTTTATTGTTACTGTTTCTTTGGACATTTTAATGGTTGGCATCGACCTTTTCCATTTGCACGAGCATAGCCTTTCTTACAGATACAGGCTGGTTCACCACGGCAATCCGCTGTGCACATTCTTGGCTCATCGTTACAAGAATACGTATTACAGGCATTTTGTCCACATGGTGCACAAATTTCATTTTTTGAACAATCTATAAGTGCGCACGGATCGTCTTGAGCTATAAAAGTTATTCAACAAATATTTAATAATGAAGCAGCTAATATAATTCATGGAAATAACTCACCGCCAGCAAATATGAACATAGCCAGAGCAAAAAGGAGAACAAATCCAAATTTTACAATCATATTGTCTCTTTTCCTGCTCTACTAAGATGATAAAAAATATTTTTACTGTTCAGTTTTGTGATTGAGAATAACATTTTTCTACCCGAGCTCCAAGGTTTATATATTCTTATGAAGTAAAAATTGCGGTAAACAAATCAATAAAAGTGCCTGTAATCTCTACAATAAATAACACAAAGTGAGAAATGTGAATGAAATGACCTCATTCAAACATGACAAAAACCATCAGAACAGATAACAAAATATGCATATTTATTATATATTCGTTGATTATCTCTCTTTACGATTCGGGGGTTTACCATCGCCGAATTCCACTGATGATAATCTGATGTTACAATCTAAACTCACGATAATTATATTAAATATATTACGAGCTTGAAATCACAGGCTTATAACGTTGTTTACCCATTTTTAAGCTTTACACTCTAAGTCATAAAATCAAAGAATATCATATAAGCATTAATATTAGCAGAAAAAAATTATTCGCAATAACAAAACTGAATAGTGAAGAATTAGTATTTGGAAGAAAAATTGAAAAAA